CCGCGGGCTGCTCAGCCTCCGGTGCTGGTAGTCCCATGTTCACTGGCTGGGGTGGCCCCACTGGTACCCTCCACCAGTGGCTGGTGTGGAGGGGCTGCTGGCAAAGCACGAGCCTCATCCTCCCTCTGCTCAGAGGCAACTCGTCAGGGTCCCCACGTGCTGCTCCTGGGGAGATGGGGATCTGGTTGCCCACAAGGACATGGTAAGGCACAAGCCAAGAGCATTCACGGAGGAGGTGGCTCATGCGCTGGAGGAGCCGATGACTGTTTTGCAGAGCGTCGAGGGTGCTGGCACCAGAGGTGGGTGAACGTAAGGACATGCCACTTCCAGGCATTGAACAGGTGACCTGGACACACAGGGACAACGGGAAAACCCCCAGAGCCAGAGCACCAGCCCAAGGCTGAGAGTGGCAGGACATCCCCAAGGGGCCAGACACAGCACCCTGCAGCCATGGGGCAGTGGATGGCCCAGGTGGGTGCTGAGGGTCCTTCAGCAGGGATCCCACGTGCCCCTTTCCACAGGTCTCCTGCCACCCAGCCCGGACACTTGAGGGCTCTGGGGAGGGCTCGAGAGAGAAAACTGTCCTGGCAGCCTCAGGCAGCCTTCCTGCCCCCGAGCAGGGATGGGGAGGGATGGAGGGATGGAAGGATGCAGTGTGCCAGCTGGTGGCACTGATGGATGAGAAGACACATGTTATGGTCCATACTGCCAAGACTGCAGCTGGCACACTGAAGGCACCTCCATCCGAGTGTGTCCATGTCCAAGCAAAGCCACTGTCCTGCCACAGCACCACAGACGACTCAGGCCGGAGGGACCTCAGCTGCTCAGAAGGAAGGCACTTGCTTCTAACGCTGCCATTGGGAATGGGGGACAATTTTTAAACCCATCTACCCATGACGTAGAGGCAGAAAACCTGTTATTGTGGTGCCATTTCCTAGTGCCAAAGCCCTGCACTGACACGGGATTCAATACTGGAGCTCATCCTGACGGCCCAGGACAAAGTAATGATGGCCCAAAGACAGGTAGGTTGGCCCAGGGCACGTAAAACCAGGGTCTGTGTCTCCAACCGACTGTATCATCACCTGTGAAGTGGATATTTGGTCCCTCCACGTACCAGTTTTCCAGCACCAGAAGCCCTACAAGCAATTGCCAGTGCACCAGGCCAGGTACATTTAAAGATGCCAGTTTAGCAGAACACAGTTTATCCTCCACTGTCACCGCCTGGCCCCAAACTGTTGCACCAGAAACATGACAAAAATGACCTGGGGGTAAAAGTGAAGAGGAAATTCCCATTTTAGATAAAGAGGGAATTAAGAAAAACTCATTAACACCCGGAGAGAGCACAGGGCTGGAAAACCAGGACATGAAACGCATTTCCTTCAGGTTATATGCAAAAAATGTAGACAACTGAGGAGGGAAACGGAAAGAATTGATGGAAAAATGATGGCCACTGAGGGCGAGATCAGCAGAAGGCATTTTAATCCCATTAGGAGAAATAATCCCCACGTCTGGAGGTGTCAGTGCATGTGCAGGAAGGTGTGCCGGGCCCTGGGAGCATCCAGCCACGTGGCACAATCTCTCTTTTTCTTCTGCCCATCTCTGGAAGAAGCAGCCACCTCCAGGGCAAACCAAGAGAGATGGGGAAGGAGGTGATGAAGGTAATGGGGAGGGAAGTTTTTGCTCAAACAGACCATTTCTGGGTGGCGAGCCCCGGTGCCTTGCACCCACTGGCCTGGGAGGGTGAATGGCCACTAGCCCCCAGGAAAGCCGGGGCAAGAGCCCACCCTGGGGACGGGGGATTAGAGGGGACAGATGTGACACGCCCCCGGGCGGGAACCCCGGGGGAAGCCCAGCACCTGCCAGCACAGCACCATGGGGAGGGGAGGGGAGGGGAGGGGAGGGGAGGAGAGGAGAGGAGAGGAGAGGAGAGGAGAGGAGAGGAGAGGCAGCAAAGCAGCCAATCCCCAGGGAAATCCCCCCAAGATCGGGAGGGGAGGGGAGGAGAGGAGAGGAGAGGAGAGGAGAGGAGAGGAGAGGAGAGGCAGCAATGCAGCAATTCCCCAGGGAAATCCCCCCAGACCCAGTGTCCCAAAGCCTTGTCAGCAGGAGACGTGGTCCCCGAGTCCTCCGTGCGTAGGGGCTGCACTGTGCCAGGCGTGGACATCTCTGGCTGGGACATTATCAGTGAGGCTTTACTTTGCGACCCCCAAAACCAGACTAGGAGGAGAGAAAGAGTGGATTTAGGGCAAATCTGCAGCAGCCAATGTCAAAATACTAACCACTGCACTGCAGCACGTCCATCACTCTGCAAGCGGAGCAGTGGCCGGGGCTGGGGGGTCTCACTGGTGCATGAGCACGGTCCGGCAGACGCTTCTGTGATGATGATGGTGATGCTCAGCCAGGGAGGAGGCTTTCTCTCCAAGCTCCACCAAGTCAAGTGCAGGAAAGGAGGGGGAAAAAACCCATCCCCTGGGAAACACAGACCCTCATAGCTGCTTCTGGCCAGAGCCAGACTCACACCTCAGTGTGTCCTGATGGGAAGGGGCCAGGCTCAGCATCCCCACCCTGCCAAAACGTGTCCTTACCTTTAAGCACATGCAGGGCCAGTGGTGCGTGCTGCTGCGGTGACAGTCCCTGCCATTGCAGTGCTGCTGGCGCCTGCCTTGACTTCATTCACCCCCGGTGAAGGAGGTGTGGTTATTTTATGCTTCCACTTGAAAGAAATGGGGTCCATGGCAGCCAACGAGGGGCGGTGGGTGGCCCTGGCAGGGCTGCGAAGGAGATGGGGATGGAGGGGTGGGCACAGGGTGGGCACAGGGGTCCTGCTCCCCTCTGCCATCTTCTGATGGAAATCGGGACAAAATGGCACACTGGACCACGGAAGGTGTCACCAGGGATGCTGTGCTGTGGTGGCAGGGGGTCGTGCCCACGGCCAGGACTCACAGGGACCGCTGGGGAGAGAAGACGGGTGTAGTGGGGGGACGGCCACCTTTCAGGGTCACTTGTACTAATGCCCAGGCAGGAGTTTGTGGAAAGAGGGATGTTTAAAGCAGAAAAAGGTGTTTTTTTTGCCAAAGGGCTGAGCCGGGGGGTGAGATGTCCCTGGGGGGGAAGGAGTCCACAGCACTGCATGGCCAGTAGTGCTCGGAGAGGGAAAGCGAGTCTCGCATTGCAGCGTAAGCTGCCTGGGCAGGCATTTCGCTGGCCTGTAAATGTCACACTTCAGACAAGAGCCCCTCGGGCCCCCTTAGCAATAGCATCAGGGCCTGGCAGTTAACCGGGATTAGAGGAGGAATTCTGCAAATGCTCCTCAGTCGCAGGGTGGAGTGGTTTAAGCCTGCCCCTGGACCGGGAGACATCAGGTGGTAGTGCCCGGCGTGGCAGGACCAACGTGGCTGGGCTCCTCGCCCCGCCTGGTCCCCCCCCCATCGGCCCGTGCAGCCTCCTCTGGATGCTGGCTACTCCCACCGGCAGCCCCGGTT